CAAAGGTCATCAATACGGGGAAGGGGGTACTTGTTCTTGACTGTAAGGGTATTCAGCTCCCGATAGTCAATACACATGCGCATCGATCTGTCTTTCTTCTTGAGGAATAGGACGGGCGCTCCCCACGGTGAAACACAGGGTCGAATGAAACCGAGCCTAAGAAATTCCTGGATCTAGGCCTTGATCTCTTGAAGCTCCTTCGGCGCCATACGGTAAGGGGCCTTAGACATGGGGCCAACTCCCGGTACTAAGTCAATGGTGAACTCCACTTGGCGGTCGGGTGGTCCTCCGGGCAGCTCATCGGGAAAAACATCAAGGAACTCGCAAACTATAGAACCTCGCTCTGGAGTCAGCTCGGACTCATCTTCAGACACCACAGAAACAAAATAGCCTTGACAGCTACCCTTGGAAAGGCTCTTCCTAGCTTGCATAGAAGAGATGACTCGAGGCACAATCTCTAATTCACTCCAAAGAACACAACAGGCTGATCGGAATCGGGAAAGAGGGTGACTTCGTGCTCCTAACACTGGATATGGGCTCGATAGCGAGTGAGCCAGTCCATGCCCAAGATCATGTCGAAGTCTCTTATTTCAATAACATAGGCGTCTACAACCAGAACTCGCCCGCTGATAGAAACAAGAAGATCACGAACCAAGGATCGAAGGTAATGATTTTTCCCGAGGCTAGACTAACCTCGAGAGGATCAACTTTGCAAACATTCATCACAGATAGGGCCTCAAGGCATCGGGCAGATATAAATGAGTGGTTTGCCCTAGTATCACATAAAGCATATACAGACACGTTGGATATCGAAAGCATTTCAGACATGGTACATGCGTTGTTGGCTGCCTCATCATGAGTGATAGTATAGACGCGGGCCTGGCCTCCAACCCGCTTGTGATAAGGTGGGGGTTGTCTGGGCTGCTGCTGATGAGGTGGCGGTGGAAGCTGCTGCTACTGTTGAGGGTAGGGTGGCTGCTGTTGTGGCCTCTTCGGCTCGGGGCACGCATGCGAAAAGTGTCTGACACGGTGGCAATTGATACAGTGTTTGTCGACTGCTCAGCACTCTCCTGGCCCATGGAACTTGCCGCAGTTAGGGCACCTTAGAAGCTGTCCCTGAGGGGGTCGATCGTCACGCCTCCCGAAGTTCCCTTTCTTGCCTTTCTTCTTGTTCTAATAATGGTCGGCCTTCCTCTTG